TTATTAATCAAAATACTATTTTTGATGTCTATTCACATCCTCCTCCTACACTCGTTTTATTATACATATATTTTTTTAGTATAAGAATGGTTTATATGTGTAAATGGATAATTTTTTTCTATGAAATATATAATAATTATATTATTGTTTTGACGAGTTTTGTATGTATAATAATATTTAAATAGAATTTTAAATATAATAATAATATTAATTATAATTTTTTAATAGACTACAATAACTATTTTTATTATCTTAATAAAGGTAAATTTAGAATATTATAAATTTAAATGATGTTATATTAACTGATTTTTGTTTTAGATCATTGCTGGAATATTATATATCTATGTTATATCATGTATATTTAATTTTTATTATGAATATGATATTGATTATATTGAAATTATATGTGATCATATTATTTGGATTGTAAAATTTTTTTATAAATAAGATTTAAATATATTACGTATAAATTATATTTATATTTTATACAATAAATAAAATATGAGGTCTTTGCCTTAAAAATGACCCTACGGAACATAGTAATTACTATATTCCATAAGGTCATTTTCAAGGCAAAGACCCCATATGTTAAAGTAATTATTATATACTAAAAACTATAAATATGCTTCTAAATTAATAACATTTTTTAATCATGTCTAATAATGCAAGTTCTTCTAAAAATAAAGACTCTGATATTGCCTCAGATAGTTCAAATGATGGTGATTTGGAAACACAAAAAATTATTTTATATGATAAAATTGCAGAAATAAGAAATTCTATTGAAAACAAAAAAAATATTAATTTGGATGAAACATTAAAAATTTTAAAACAAGTTAGTGATTTAATGATAACAGATTATAATAGAGCTTATAAAACGCAAAATGAAATGATTAATGCTTTAAAATTAATTAATCTAAATTTAATATGTAAAGTACAATATTATAAAGCATGTCTTTGTAAAGAATTGTTACAATTGATTAGAGAATGGTTTAATGAATTATTAGATCTTTTAGTATTACTTTTTTTAGAATTAAGTTTTATTAAAAAAATTATTACTTTGATACGAAATATGATACCAGGATTTATTTTAAATATACTTGAAACACTAAATTTTTATGAGAAAATTCGCCCCAAAAATTGGTTTTATATACAATATCTTTTTACAAAAGCAATGCTTCCATTTATATTTTTAATATTGTATTTTTTTTGATTACCAATTTTAGAAACAATTAGCGATCTTTTAATAATTTATATTATAACAATCATATTTATTATTTATTATTTAAATTATTTATTTAAT